TTCATTATAGATATGCTGTTTTTGATGAATAGATTTTTTCTGTGTTAAAAACATCATTTTATCATATTCATCACGTTTAACCGACGTTGTTTCTTGTTTAATATCTACATCATTATCAGTAAAATCGTTAACTTGTTCTTGATCATTCGTTGTGTTATTTTTTTCAGTCATATTATCCGTTAATGTCGTAGTTGTTTCATCATCAATGGTAAATGCATTTAACAATGTTCGTTCAGCTATTGTTCTATTTGTACAACAGTCGTGTGATCTGGATTGGCCATTATCAAAAACTGGAATGTAAAATTCAAAACATTTTTTACAATAATAATAGCCTTGTTGATGCATTGACTCATGATTTGAAATTTGTTCACGTGAATGTAAACGAATTGAACAATATGAACAGATAAAAAGTTTTGATAATTGCTGTGAATGATGGGGACGATGATTAGATGATGAATATGATTTATTTGAATAAAGTTGATTTTGAGTTTTTACATTTGATGAGGACGCATGATGACTGCCACACGGACGAAGTCTATGACGAGCTAATGAACTTCGTTGAGAAAACGCCACACCACAACGTGGACATCGATGACGAAAAGATGAAGTGGAATGATGATCTAAATGTGTAACAGAAACGGTTATGAAATAAATGTGTTGTAGATAGTTTATACCTGATTTGTGATTTAATGACATTGATCTATTCGTGTATGATGCTGTGGAATGATGTCGTTGTTCGGAATGTATAATTGGAACATCTTGAACTGTTGTTGTTGTATTTTTTTGAGATTTATCTTCGTTTGGTCGTTGAAGTTTTAGTGTAACTTCATTAGGTGAGGGTTCATTTATATAATCTGATTCTCTACTTCCTCTACTTGTTACTGAGCGATGTGGTGATGAAGTTGAAATTATATCTTTATTTGTTGTATCGATTTGTTGTTGTTGTACTACCGTTAAATCTTTTCTTACTGGTTTGCTTAATTTTCGACGATTCGCTCTACTACCATTATTATTTGGACTTAATGGTTCATTTATTATATTTTGTTGTCCATTCATCATTGTCAAATTGCCATCATCGTCATCACTTATCATATTAGTATCTATATCAATGCAATCTTGTTCACTGCTATTACAATAAGGCGAAGATGATGGATTCTTATTATTGCCATTTAAAAAATCTGTCATAGTAAATCGAAGAGAATAACGATGCCCACATCGACACATGAAAAGTTGAGAAGTATTAATTAAATCACTGTTGTTAACTGTATTATTCATTAAAGAAACACCGGATTCTACAAGAGAAATTTTTTATTTTTCAAAAACAAATAACGACATGATGAATATTACCTTTCACTGATGATATATCAGTCAGCTTCAATCTTCGCTTTATCCAACTAATAAATTCTATCACAGATGTATCATCACTGAACGTTAAATATTGTTCAACTATTTTGAACAATGTTGTTCGATCCACTATAGTGGATGTATTTGTCATTTGTATTCGTTACAATTATTCTGAAACCAAATAACACCTAATGTTTACTGTCATAACATTCGAGAGGAAAATATATTATTTGCTATAATGAGGATAAAACAAATGCATAACATGTTAATCATCCATATGTTCGTGCAATATGTAATGTTTTTCGTATATTGAATGAATGGAAAACACGTGATCAATGATTTTATTAGATGTAATTATGGATACACAGAGAAAAATAACAAGAAAACTGAACATCCACACTGGGCCAGTTGATATATTATATTCTCTATCTCTTCAGCTTTACTCCATCCATATAATACGAAAATGTTTTTTTTTATCTACCTATACCCACACACTGTCTCGTTGCTACGGTCACAAGATATGGAGTCTAAAACTCCAAATGGAAGTATATAAAGAAATTCTGGAGCGAAAAAAGTACTTATTTCTTACATATATATTACTCTTAACAACGCACTGAGAGCGAGACTCTTGTTTTTATTCTTAATTTTAACATTAGTCGAACGCAAGACTATATATAGCTACTTTACATTATATATCTATTACAGATATGTTGATTCGAACAACGACTTGAGACTACAAGAATACTAAAACGTTCTACGTAGAAATCAAGATCCTCTCACTCCACACCTTTCTCTACATATGAGATATTTCGTTCCGAAATGTTCTTTATAAATTTGCGTAAAATTCTTCTGACTATATTTTAACTTTTAGAAAAAAATAAAAATTGCTAAAAACAAATCGATTTTTATAGTGAGTAGAGCACAAACGTAATCTGCTGATCAAGAGGAACTGGAAAAAATTGTCATTGAAACGAGAAATTTTTACTTTGTTTTCTTATCCTCTATATAATATGTTGTACTTCTACATTATGACTCATCCCACTGAAGCATCTTTGTAGGCTGTGTATTTCTTAAAAGAAATGAATGCCAAAACTTCTTTTATTTCTTCCATAGCTTATAAGAGCCTGGAATCGAACTGAAATAGATTCAACTTGTAGACTGTAGAATCAAGGTTATCTTCTAAAATTTGTCTGATGAAAAGTTACAATACATCCACTTCGTCTACTTTCTCAAAACAAAGTGGAAAATTCTACTACGACAATTTCTCTTAACATTGCTAAGCTATGAAATATCAAAGTTAAAGGTTTTTCTTTAAAAAGTTAAACTAATGCTTCGTCAAATGAAAGAATTATGAGGGCTTTCTACTCGGTTATATATATCAATCTTATAAACTGATTTTTTTCTGTTTTAAACGTCTTCAAATATTCATCATAATCTATATACTTATAAATTTTTGCTAAGTCTAATTTCACCTAGCCGACATTTATCTTAAAACATTCTGCTCGTCGCGTTGTTTCAAATAAACTCAAGTAATCTGAAATTTTTTCAGCTTTTTCTGCTATTGTTGTACGACAGACTTACGATCATTTGTGAGCTAAAACAGTTGAGAAATCTTTTACTCGGCCACCTTCGGCTCAAGTTAAAAAACCATTGTATTAATTACAGCAGTAATAAATAACAGAAATTTGATTTGAGCTTTTTCATAGAGATGAACATAAAAACTAATAAAAAGAAAAAAACCTTAGGAATTATCATGTACAAAGATAGTATAGTGAGAATAGCGACTTAGTTACATACAACTCAGCCATTCTACTTCTGTACAAAACCGACATATGATATATTTCATTTCGTTTTCTTTTCAAAAATTTTAGCTTTCGAATTCTTTTCTCTTCTTCCTCATAAATGGACAATGCATAGACCAGTGTTCTTCTCCTTTCGACCTCTTTTGCAACGATTTTTCACATAAACAAACACATACAATAATATAATGCCGTTCGTTCAACGTCATATGTGACAAATGTCTTTTTTGGATTTCTTTTTTCTGACTGAGTTAGAACTACTTTGTGCTGTTAAAGTAGATGTAGACAACGTCCACATTAGCTTTGTGACTAAATATTCACGAAAAGTGCATTTTATCGTGTCTTTCTCTGGTATATCCTACATTGGTAAAAAGCATAAGAAGATTCCACATACTAGAAAGATGACCTGGTGAAAATTTATCGGTTCTGAATTATGATCACAGAATATGTGACGAATTTAGAGTATCGTCTTTTCCAAATTCTTGTAAATTTGTGCTTTGAGAAAATTAAACTTGATTTAGAGAATCTTTTTCAACACTCGTGTTGATAAAGTAATGAAAAAAAGGGAGAAAAATGTTTGAGAAAACATTTCGTATGTAGCCTGGTGAAAAATGTCTCTTATTTCGTGTCCTGCTTTGTCGAAAAAACGCCATTAAATTGATGAAAGTTTCCAGAAATTCAGACGCAGAGTAAGGTTTCTAAGTCTCTTTTCTTTTTTTCTGAATTATTGTCGCTGCTACCAAGTTATTTCCTATGCTACATTTTATAGGACACTAATTTTGCAGATATCTAAATGACGGTATGAAGAACTTAGGAGAGCAAATAGAGATTAGGAAATCTTACTTGACGTTTGAATTTCGCTGGAAACTTTTATTCATTCAATGATGTTTTTTCAACGCAACAAAGTCATAAAACATACGGGACTGTTTTTCACCAGCCTATAGACTAAGAAAATCATAATCTAAGTAAACAAATATTTTAATTCATTCACTTCTCCTACTGCTTCATTCTGGCGCACGTGTACTTCGTTTAAAGGATGTTTTTTATTCAATTTTGTTAATTCACTTATTTAATTCTATCCGATAGTGGTATCGGAGCCTAGCATTAATAAAGTAACTCATGTGTACAAGGGATTAAAACTTAATTGCAATTTGAAGTTAAATAAGACACCGTACCATAATCTAGTTTATGGTGACATTTTTGATTTATTCGGCGCTGTTGGGCGAGGATCATTTGCTGTTGTTAGTCGAGCTATTCACAGAAAATGTTGTCGCGAAGTTGCTTTAAAATGTATGAAAAAACAATTATTAATAAATAACCAATTATTAGCAGTGATCAAAGAAGAAGCCTATTTACACGATTTTTCATAACATTCAAATATTGTACAATTTTACGATTGTTTTGAAGTATAACAATTTTGGTTTGTTGAAAATTGCTTGTCCGTATATACGAATAAAATTATCAAAGTAGGTTTCTGTATACTCTCTTCAAGGTTTTGCATGTCATTATGTTTCATAGCGAAAAAAACAATAGCAAAAACTCACATTTTTTTATTCAAGTTGCACCAGAAATGCTCGCTATCGACTCCTACCATAAAAACATAGATTATTGGGCAATGGGTGTTTGATTCACGGATTAGTTTCTGATCCTTCAGTAATAGAAGGTTAGAATCGTTTATGTTTACAGTTTTTCCTAAGTCATTGATGATATTCAAATAAGGTACATCGACAAATGAAATATTTAATCATTTAAAAGATGGTCCTTTAATATTGTACACCGACCTTATACAAGGATATTGTAAGGTCGACCATTACTACAGTATAATCCCACAGATTGATGAGGCAAAACTCATATAAAAGAGGATTATGCTGCATTAATTGAACATCATTGGTTTTCGACGATTAATTTTTTTGATCTTTATCATTAGATAATTCAACCACCACCTCTAGTGTCTCAAAACAAACAACAGACAAATACCGGAGATCAATTGTACTGTGATTTTATCAAAATGACTCATAAGCTGAATACACAAGAAAATTCATGATACAGAGTTCTAATTCAACATGGAAATGAAACGTGTAATTATAATATTCATAATTGCTAGAGATATATCAAAAAGCTAAAATAGAATCCAATAAATGGAGTTTATGGTACAGCCGAGACTCTTCTGTTTATTATCTTCAACTACTGGCAATATTACAAATTTGAGTTAAATCGCTTAATTGTAATGAATTACAAAGAAAATTAAGTATTTGAGACTCTAAAATCTTGTACTTTTTTTCATAACGTATATATAGGAAAACGTTGTATGATAACATATTCAAATCGAAACATTACCTCCTGAAAGATACTTCATTTGCCACGACTTCGACAGTATACATCAAGTTTTACGTCATATGTTACAGAATTTTGAACATTAAGAGATACAACATTGTTATGATGGTAACTTAATTTATTGCAAAGAAGAAACAGTAAGTAGGACAGTTCAACGAAATTCAAGTTCGATTATATATTGTCGTATAACAATAAATGAAGCTAATTTTGTTGCTTTTCAAGCGAGTATATTACTCTTTTTCCTTGTTTACTTAATAATAATTGCATAAAAAAAAAGGGAAGAAACATAAAAAAAAACAATCGCATCATCACAGAAAAATAAGAAATCAAAGAAGAAAAAACAATAAAAAATTTGAAATGATTTCTATGACAATTTTTTTGTTTTCTGAAATAAAGTGTCGACAACTTTACTCATATTTTGCACGATAACAAGTGCATCTTGATATTGAGTATCGGACGGTGGCTCATCGAATATAATCAAAACTTCGCTACCTTGATCTAATATACCTATTAACAAAAATAGAGAACAAATAGTAACATGATTATATTTGATAAGACATTGAGACATACCGCTAAATTTTTTATCAAGAATCATCTGCGATAATTTTTTCTCAACAACATCCTAAATCAATATAATGTTGTTATTTAGATAACCAGTAAGTCATCCGTCTTACTTGTGGTAAATTGATTAAATGTGCTATGTGACCAATTTGTACATTAGAATAGGGTTCAATCAAACGGCAAAGATTTTGTTCTAGAAGATTATCATATAATGTGTCTAAATGTGAACGAACCATTGGATCATCTACTAGTTCAACATGATAATCTTTCAGTGCCTAAAATTTAATGTAACCTAACATCATTATTTCGCATTTTTTTAGTCACATTACTTGTTGAAAATCAGCTAATGATCGTTTTTTACTGGCTTGTGCAACAGCTTTTATTGATTCAACATCACGTCCGGCATATTTTAACGCCAATTTGACAGACATCAATGCGTTTACATCATCAGACCTTAAGTAAAAGTAAGAATAATTTTGAACAACAGAGTTAAGTAGATTCTTTTAAGACCTACAAATTCATCATAACTTTGGATAAAAGCATATATTTCAGTGCTGTGACTGCTTTGTTACTATCAATCTGATCATATCCTTCAAATGCTTCATAAAAATAGGAAAAAGCGGTTTTAAAATCTTTATCTTCGGCTGCATGAAGAACGCCTAAAAGAAAGTACGTGTATATAGTAATAAAAATAATAAGTGAAGTAATCAGTGTACCTGATTGTAGATCAAGACTAGCTTGTAGTTTTGGAGGTGTATAAATGCCGTTTGCTGTTGTACGAGCAGATGTCAATGCTGCTCTAAAGTTAAAACATCACAGGTGTATATTTATCATAGTTTAACATAAGCGGATGGATCATATCACCTTGCTTTTGGTGTGTTACTTAATGCAAAATATGTTTTGCTTTCTAGTAATTGTACTTCCACTAACAATTGTTTATCATCTAACTTTTTTAATTCTTTGAGTAACTGTGAGCCTAATTGAAGCGCTTCATTATAACGTTTTGTCTCAAAATAAAGTGCAACAAGACGAGACTAGAAAAACAAATGTCATAGTCAAGATAAAAAGAATCATGAGAAAAGATGGATCATACTTCTAATTCCTGCCGTAGAAATGTTCGATTTTCACTCTTAGCCCACTCAATATTTTCTTGGCACAGCGTGACCTAGAATGATAAAAATGTGAGTACAAAAATAAAAAATTGCAATGAAAATGAACACATACTTCTTGGCCAGTTCCAGCTTCCATATCGAGAAACAAATCAACTAATGTACGAACAAGTTTAGCTGCTTTAGCTTTACTAACAAGACCAAGAAATGGACGTGTTGTTTTTATTAATTCAGCCAAAGCTAAAAAGATAGAAGATCCATCAATATTCGTGTTCATAGTGTCAGTCACATGACCATACCTTTTGCATCTTTTGTTTGTTTAAATAATTTTCCCAGTGTTAATATAGCCGTTTCTTTAATTCGAATTGCATCTTCGTCTTCTGATACAGCCTCTATTTTAACTAAAAAACGAAAGCAAAAGAATTAACATGTAGATAGTAGCAAAATTCTACTGCACATACCAAGTTTTTGCAATATTTCTTTTGCAACCGTGTAATCTTTTGTTGCTAAAGCTGCTTCCGCCTCTTCTAATTCAACTTGTTCGCTTAATTTCGGTGTCTCATCAGTAGTAGCACGCTTTATATTTTGAACTTCATCTGTCGTTAACTTCATGTTTAGTCTAACTTTTGATTATCAAAAAGTTTTTACAATCTAAAAATGACTACACATGTACATTCAGCATAGATAACAGAACAGATAGTATGATTATTAAAATTTGGCTACATCATTTCACGAAGTTAACTTATTAAGACTTGATCTCAGTTTAAATAATCAATAAAAATGAATAAATGAATGAATGAAAAATCTTAGTAGTCACAAAAAATACTAAAACAATAAACTTATTGACTAATACTTCCATAAAGAAATAAAAGAGATTAAAAAAAAACTGATTTCTTGACTATCAATTATCTGTGTCACTGATTGTAAGCCATCCATTGTGTCGACTTATCTCTTCGATAATGAAACGATTGTGTTCAAGGCAGTTTTCCGACTGTAAATAGGTAATAAGACAGGTTCTCAAATCCTCTGTACGTGTACAATTTTCTTTAGTAATAACACCATTACGTAAAATTAATTCTAATAGTGATAAAAGATGTGTTGTTGTCTAAAATTGTAAATCAAAATAAAAGTAAATCTGCCGCAAGGCGTTGTTACCTCAAGATTGTAATTTGTCTTAGTTTTGACTCTAACTGAAGAGATTTACATACTCACTAACAGGAATAAAAAATTAAATACAATAATGCAAGAACATAGCTGCAGCCACATATACATCGTCTTTTTACTAGTATAATTATCAAAGATAGACGTCTTTCATCGTAATACTGTCTCAAGCAAGCGGGAAAAGCAAACTTTGGACTTTTTGGTTTTTATAGAATTTCATGGACTTACATCAACTTACGTGAACCTAGATCGGCTTTTAAAATTTATCCAGGTCCAACGTACTCACATGGATTTCTAAAGCCGTTGGACTTTTACAGATCTATAAGACCACAAAAATTTACTTAAGTGTATCTAAATCCACTTAAGTCATTGAAAGAGTGCGTGGGTTCACATAGATTTATAAAAGTCCTCATAAATTCTTAGACTTTTTGAAATTAACGTGGATTTTGATAGACTTAAGTTCGATTCTTCTCTCTTTGTCACAAATGTATATCAGTGTCTTCGACCACAAAATTAACTCACAAAACTTACATCGTCCGCGCAAGATCTATCATTCAATTCACGACTTATAATCTCGACTATTAGCCGCCGATCAGATTCATATAAAAGATGATCACTTATTGTTGTTGCACTGAATACATCAGTAAAAAATTTAATGATAGAGTTTTGTTTTGATATGCTGTTTGGTAGTAAATCAACTAAAAAAAATATATAAATAATAAGGTTATTCATTCTTTCCAGCTTAATTATCTTACCGTTTCGATTTAACAATAATATTAGTCTTTCTAATAACTCTCGAAATATCGACTGATCATTTGTTTGCATCATTAACATTAGAGGGTTTTCACTTGGATAATCAAATTTCAAATTTAATGCTAACAAAAATTTGATTGAATTTAAAATAAGACTTTCATTGTCATTTTCAAAATTGCCATCCGATTTTCTAGAATTAACACTTTTTTCGATTAAACAACAAATGTGTTTTAAAAACGCAGGATCACTGAGTTGAACTAAACAAAAAAATTGTATAAAATACCATTTAAAAGTAATAGTATAGACTTACCAAATGTTTGAACAGGAAACAATTCATCTAACATCAGTAAATGTGTCAATAAACGAAAAGCGCATATAATAGCGGTATCATCGTCTAAAGTAAAAAATACATTAGTTTTCGAGGTTGATAATAACAGATTAAAAATTTTGCAAAGCACATGAAGCACATAAATATTGAGAATAGGAAAATACAAATCAGCCAAACTTATCTCATATGAATTTGAGCACAGGTTATCTACAAAGAAGTAATTTCACTAACTAATAACAGCTTAAGCAAAATTACGACAATTGAACAACGAGACTAGGCTCTTTTCTAAAAAAGGTTTTCTACGAAACTCAAATATTCTAAATAAACACCAGCATTATTGATCTTCTCAGAATTTTCCACTATCGTTAAAAAAGCATTGAAACAGTCTATAGACTACATTTTGTACGTCTAGTAAATGAATCAATAGAAGAAGAAATAGACAAAGCACAACGCTATTAGAACAACCTTTGCAAATCGTTTAGCATGTAAACATCAATTTAACCTTTCGTATTGGTTATAATACGAACGCAATCAGCCGAGATTGGGTGATCGATAACCAACAATGAAAATTTACGATTAATTCTGCATAATAAATAAATTATATTACATATCATGCCATGTAATTTTGAGCTAATATTCTATAGAAAAATAAACAAACAAGAAGTCAAGTAGAATCCACTTTTACCTTTTCAAAAGCGAGCTTTCTAGTGTATGAAAACAGACAATAATAATCTTTTCGAAGAATACAAAAGTTAGAAAAATACCTCCGCTTCTTCATATTCAGAAAGTCGAAGAGAGACATCGGGTACTGTTTAAATTACAGTCGATTAGTAACTCTAACTATCGTTGCCGAAGGTATCACGTTGTAGTATTTAAAATGTAGAAAGAATTTTCTTTCGTTTCAAAAGTGTTTCCACATATATATAAAAGAACCTAAACTTCTAACATCAACTTTGTTCATCTCTGGCATATTTAAATATATTATCCGTAAGAGAAACGCTGACGATTCAGAAACCTTGATAAAAAGAAAGAAACTTCATCAAAACTTGTGATATAAATTCCATTAAAAGCGAGACAAATTCAAACAGAAGAAAAGGTTGCAACCTTAATCATTGGAGAAAACAGGATAGCTAAACAGTGTAAAAGAACCTATACAGTTAAATTAAATCACATGAGATGAAAAGAAAAAAGGTGAAATATTGATATTAATACAAAAAATATACTAGAAGTTAGACAATAGCAAAAATGATGTTCATACGTACTCTCCCTCGTGAGAATAAATGAAAAACTGTCTTTTATGGAAATTAAGAATGTTTTAGAAGTGAATATTACCCACCATGGCGCATAAATGCATTATGTCAGATAATTGAGTCTGATGTTCCTCAATTGACTTTGTTAGGAGAAAACATTGTAAATTAACATGAGCTACCTATGAAAATAAACAAAGCAAGATAAAGTACATATTAGTCTACTGTAATTTGTTACTCACTAATAATTCATTTAACTGCGTAATACTATCAGCTAAAGTGGATGAATCACGGCCAAGTGTATAATTTCTTTCTTCACAATCGTTTGCGCAACAACTGAGCGTATTTATCAGCGATTCAAAGCAAACAATATCTGGATGATTTGAATCGTGTTCAAAACGCTAAAAATCAGAAAAATAAGATAGAAAACACCTCCTAACTCACAATAATAGTGAAAGTAGATACTTCAACAGCCGAATTCAAATTGTTCCACAATGAATTTGCATCAGCAAGATTGATACGATCAAAATAATTGAATAATTTAGTTGATAAATTAGAGGAGAGAATATAGCTTGTTTTCGTTGTGGTTTGTATTAATTCAATTATATCTGATACAATCTCATCCGCTTTGATCTCATTGTCATCTTCATCAGTCGACATATCTGAATCTCAAACTAGAAGCAGAACAGGAAACTATTTTATATTTAATTCAAAGTATAACAGGATAAATAAAATTCCTTACGTCAACTGAAAACAATTGTTTCATGAAGCGTCAAATCTTATCTGACAAAGACAGACTTTACATTTATTTTTGAATCAGTCATGATTATGGTATATCAATAGCCAGTATCATCAATAACCTTAAGTATGTTCTCAACCAGGGTTGCCAAATGTGACCCACGCAAGGGTCAGCCCCTCATTTAAAGATTTGCTCCACATAAAAACCCGTCTCTCTGAGCGTCTCGCTTGAAAAAATATGGACATTAGTAATGACCCTCATTTTCGCTTAATCCGTCGTATATTGAAACTTTTACAGTTGGCAACTCTGTTCTCAACGTTTAAAAGTTATCGGTCTTAACAGAGGGTAAGTGATTACCTATCCTAAGTTCATAATTAAGTTGAGCGCTATTGTCAATGAAGAAACAGTTACTTACGTCAAAAAGCTACTACCTAATTTTTTTGTACCAACACCCAAAGTTAAGCACACACTTCAGTCAAGTTATTGGATTGCCTAAGTCAACTACTTAAGAATGTTGATCAAGTGGGTTCCAGAATGTAAAAATGAAATTGTATAAATTTTAGTGACTGTTTGCTTTCAATTTTCAACTAAACTATCTCTAATTATTTGTATAATCAACGAAAAACATTTTTTCTTCACAAATTTATTTTTGGAACAACAGAGAACTAGTCTAGTTTTCATAGTACAGTTAAAACCGTAACTGAACATTATTAAAGACATTCTTAACGAAATAAGTCTACTCGAAGCTACTTAGAATTTCTATCTAATATAAAAATTTTATTTTCTACCGTTTAAGAGTAAAAAGAAAAGGAAACTTTGACCATTTTCATTGAAAAACTTTTTACCTCGACGAAGAAGTCGGAAACGACATGCGTTGGTTGTCAACTGCCAATGAATTTTATTAATGAATCACACGTTTGCTTATTTAGGAATCATAAATAAATATTTATTGATCGACCGATGGTATAATTTTTCTCTGTCCGCTTATGAACATAAGCTGAAATATTGTCTATACATATCATTGTTTGTCAGCATCACTTTTGTATCTGTTGGAAAAATTTTACAAAAAATTAAATATAAAACTGTAAAAGTTAGGTTTAACATTTATCTGCTGCGTTAGCAAAATGGTTCATGATAGTAAGTTGAATCTTCATATGGTACGATTGAAGAGAGTACATCTAAATATTCATGTTGTGCTTTTTTCAGACGATGTAAGTCGATTTGCTGATCGAAGTAGAGAATTATGGTCTGAACGTACTGTTACCGAATCTCAATATAAACAGAATAGTGAGTGTAACAAAACACTGTGACATTTTCTATGAAACTTTTATCTTTCTATTTTTTTCTTTGTAGGCTTTTTAAAATGTTGTGGAAGATGTCCATTTGCATCGTTTCTTGCTTTCTTAATTACATTAACTGGCACTGGCATATTTTGTGGTTGTATTTATCATGCATTAAAGATTACCATTGAAGCTGTGAATAATGCTTATAAATTACAATATATTGAAGTGGATTGGTGAGTAATAACTGCATATTTTTGTTATCAAAACTAGTTTATTTGCAGTGAAAATGCAGTACTAGGCTAACCTAAGGGTCAGTTATAATCTTTTATTAAATCGATAGATAAATTCTCAGAAGTTTTATTAACACATGTCAGAATCAGAGTAGTATTCTTAACAGTATTTATCATTAAAGTAAGACTTATCACGAACAAATTTGTTCTCTCATTTAGGATTCGTGTGATGCGTTTGGTTGTAATATTTGTTTCGGCTGTTATGGGTGGATTGTGTTTAATATTACTAATTGTTGGAAGTTTAGCGACAGGTGCTACCCGCCATCAAGTTTACACGGGTTTTCGTTCAAGATTAGGTGGACGAATAGCAACAGGATTTGTACGTAATTTTTGCGGTTTGTGTAATTCAACAATAAGAGGATAGATGTCTAACATACAGCAGATGTGCAAAGTTTTTTTAAATCTCTCACAGACAAACACATAAAAACGATGAGAAGACTTGGTAGCCTCTTAAGAGTGAGCTCTATTGTCATGATAATCCGGTATCATCTGTGAAGAGTTTCACATTTAGTTTTATTTTAGACTCAATCGGAGCTATTCTGACAAGATTCTTTTATTCAAATTAAACGATAGTTAAGCTCTTCAAGAATGTATGTTTGAATGCTTCAATTGTCGTAAATAAAGCTTGTTTGCTTAGTAGTATCTTATGCGTACGCTATATAAAAGAGACAGATATTTTTTTATGTTTAAAAATGATTCTTGATTATTTTTTATTTTAGTTTTCTATTGTTGTTTATATGTTATTTATAATATGGTTAATAGCCACATTAGCCTTGGTTGTTCCATGTATTGGCTATTATATATTAGGTAATCGTTGTACGAAAGAAGCTCGTACTGTTGACACAGATCCATTATCTCCTACACGTTGTTTATGGCTTGGTCATTACGGTTTATATGTGCCAAAACAGAGAACTGACCATTCGGTTTGTCAAGAAGCATTTGTGGAATTATGCAATCAGGTATGTATTCAATTCAATCTATGATAAAATATAATTATTCTAAACATTGTTTTTTCTAGGTTACCGAAGCGGGTCCCCGATACGTCGGTAAGTTTTATACAAAAGCTGTTTTTCAGACTCGTTTCCTGTTTTAAACTATGTTTTTCTTATTTTTAGCGGCTTTATGTGGTTCATTATTGGTTGTTCTAGGGTTGGTAAGTTGTTGTCAAAAACTTGATGAAAACAGCTTAATAACTTTTTATTTTACATTTGTAGGTTCATTTTCTTTGTTGTCTTGTTGCTAATTATGCGCATATCAAAGACGGGATTAAACTACGCGATTATGAAGATGCTATTAAAGAAGAATTAGAATTATCAAAATTAAATCATTAATATGCAGATATATATGTAAAATAGTAGAATGAAAAACTACATAAAAAGCACATGTTTCTGAACTCTACAGCTCAATTTTTTTGGCCATTTTTCAAATAATGCTATTTCTCCTAGTAATCGTCCAAATATCTCAATTTTTTGCATAATATTGCTTTTTTGTTGTTGTTGTTGTGAATATCTATCTAAACATATGTCAGATGAGCCTTTTTCGCATGTGGGTTCGATTCTTGTTTCTCAAATGTAGTTTGTAATTTTTTTTTTCTCTTTTAACTCAGCTTGTTTCCTCTTTTTCCTCATTACTTTACAGATACTATCAACGTTTATTTTTTTTTGTTTTTATGGTATTCCTTATTCAATGTCGTTTAGCTTAGTTATTTTTAGTTGGTCTTTATTCTTTTTGCAGAAGCTTTCTTTCTTTGTGTTTTGTAATCGCCAAAGTGCCTTTTCTATTTCATTATACGCATCTATTCTGTGTGCTTTGATAATTTTTACTCGACAAATGTATCTTATTGTTCTCGCTCTCTTTCATCGATATAATCGATCTTTTCTATGCTTATATGCCTCTTTCATACGAATTAAATTCGACGTAAACGTTTCTGCTGTAGCTTCTTTAGTGTTTGTTTTTTTGGTAAACTTGCATGTTAATAAAAACACACAACATCTGATGTAATGTAGAAATCATTTCAATCATATTATACACTGACAAATTGTCTTCGGTAGCAACACAATCTTATAAAAGATGAAATTGGCCATCTCACTAAGGGATTTCCTAAAGACACTGTAAATCGATGATGGATATTCTTGATTTTGCAATGGTTGTTAAAGAAGGTAGTGACAGTAAGAATATCATATTAAAAAACCCTACAAGATTAATAAGTTATCCGACGAACATCGGATTTATTGCAAATATACTCAATTTATGGTGAGAACGGATAATTCTTACTGTATCGAATAAGTAAGGAAAAACCAACCGCAGGCAATCGAGTCGTCAAATCGCAACAACAATATTCGATCTGGACTTTGCTTTATTAGAAGCAATTCTCGAAAGAGCGCAATCACAACTGTCCCTAACGGCCGAACTAGCAAGGGAAGTCGGACTGGAAGTAAATGTCAAGAAAACAGAGGCACTCACGAACCAGAAGCACAAAAGCGTCAACATCGAGTTAGAAGGACAGAAGATCGAATGGGTAACAAACTTTAAATATCTAGGTTCCATGGTTCTGCCAAGTGAGAGCGACATCAACCTTCGCAAAGCACTAGCTTGGGGCGCCTTCTGGAAAATGAAGGACATATTCCGCTCGAAAACCATACCTATCCATCTCAAAACAAACATATTCCAAGCAGCATGTCTCTCAATACTTCTGTACGGCTGCAAGAGCTGGGTCATCACCAGTAAGCTCGAACAAAGTCTCAACAGTTACGCCAGCAGCTGCTACAGACTTATGTTCAACATTAAACGCTTGGATAAAGTATCAAATCAAACAATCTACAAAACAATTGGAATCGATCCCCTAGTTTTACAGATCCAACGGTGGCAACTTAGATACGTTGGTCATTGTCTGCGAAGAGAAAAAGATGAGCTGATTAACAAGTACGTCCTCTATTCGCCCAACGAAAGCCACGGGAAACGAAAACAAGGCAAACCACGCCTGTTATATGCAGCATATATCGGCAAAATCATCAATAGTGATACGCCGCCATCGGTCGACGAGTTACGAGCAGCTGCAAACAACAGAGAAAACTGGGCCAAGATTGTTGACGCCTGTGAACCAAAGTTGTTTGCAGTCGACTGATGATGATGATGATGATGATGAAGGAAAATTTAAATGAAAATTCTGAAAGAAAGTTAACATGTCTATTACTTTGGTGTCGTCCTTTCTTTTGTGATTACTGTTACAGTAAATGAAAACAGTTTTTGAATTCAAACTTAATAAATAACTAATTACAATTTAGTAAAATACAATATTAATCCTTCTCCAGTACGGTCAGTGGCAATGGAATTAATATTCTATTCAAAATATTTCTGTCCGTAAAGATTTATATTAAATATTTTTCCAAATAATAATTATCCATACATCACGGAAAAGAGATATGCTACTGTCATGGACGAGAAGAAATTTAATAACAAGCCACTCTTTGTTAAACTGCTTTATTAATTCTAGTTTCGCGCGTGTATAGCAGCTATTAATTTTGATAAAGTCTCCCAGTTTAATGCTCCTATTTGTTTTATGTTTATTAACTACAGAGATAAGAAAAAATAACAATTGCAACGATGTTTTCAGTAACACTTGAGGGTTACCATTACTTGTTGTCTTATAGTATTTTCTCGTAGTGAATAATTGTTGTGCTGTTTATGTATAATAAAAATATTAGGACCACCTGTTGTTCCATCTGACCAACTTTGACATTGATGAAAGTGTATGGTATATTTAAAATCATTAGAATGCTCTAATAATGCCGGTATGAGACACTCTTCAAACCACTGTTTGTCATCCGGCTGTTTTAGTGTAACTATAATATAAATACCATTCGATGCTAAAAGTGACGATATATTTCGATACATTTGTGGTATAACTGAAATATTTTTATTGGAATGTAGCAGACCATCAGTTGTTCCTATAATATTCAATAATATAGAGTATAGGTGCTTTTTGATATTTTTCATGTATTTGTACCTTTGTCAAGTATTGTATAAAAAGATAAAGGTTCAAATGGTAATGTTTGCTCCTTACAAATATCAATTTGATAATAATTTATATTTGATCTCGATTTATTCAACACAAGTTGTTCTTTCAAATATTTTACAATCGATGACGAAAAGTCAATCGCATGAAAAGGGCCTTTAAATCCATTTTGTATCATGTTAAAAAAGACGGTTGATACTCCACACCCAACATCTAGAACAGAGTAGTTTCTAATGTTTTTTAGATAAGGTTTTAGTAAGGGCGAAATATCTGACCAGGAATAGTACCATTCATCAGTTTGATCAAAATCGTCGTTTTTCATCGCCTTCTTTTCAAATTGTTTTTGATTTGATCTTTTTCTTTTTTTATTTAAAGACCGATCTTTATTTTCGTTGAGTTTTTGAATATTTTCTGAATATCGTTGTTCCCAATAAGCTTGTGAATTATATTGTCTGTCATCTTTTAACTTTGGGACATAGGGCTTGAGTTTTTTTCTTTTCTCGTTCAGTTTTGCAGATTTATCTTTCTTTTGAGGAACCATTCTGAAACTAAACAGACTTTAGATCTATAAAGGAAAAAAATACGGTCTCAGATATGTTTCATCAAGATAATTCTTAAATTTAAGTGAGTACTTGAGTCTTGACATAGTTTATGAATATTAATAAAAGGATCTTCTGTCGAATTGTGTTTTCAACGCATCTTCGAAAGTAATTGTACCTCTCAAACTATTTGTTCTCAGTTTTCCACGATATTAGATTATAGCCAAGGCAGTATACTTGATTGTCCAATTGGCAGACCGTCTAGATGGCGCCACTGACAAATACTGAAAGTTCATTAGTTCAAATTATATATCTTAAGAAATTAAATTGATAGACCTTTAATCAGTTTTCTATTGTATTGTATTACCAATTTATCGCTTTATCAACGCTATTTGTTAGATGACGAGGAAATAAGAGTCACAACATCGCACGAATAACATAATAAGCTCCAGGGTGTTTTATCAATAATAGCAAATCTTAATTAAACATTTCTCTTAAGTTAGGAATTAAGGGAAACTCTCTAGGGCTAGAAAAGCTTTATTATTTACATCCGATTTTAAAAATTTCAGCCAACAATCATGATATCAAATGATGCTTATAACATAATTTTCGGCTCTTTACCAGAGTGCCCAAATCTCCTGATTTTTAGACTTTTCTCATAATGAAATTCTCCTGATTTCAGGAGCTGATTTTTAAGATTTTCTCCCGATTTCTCCTGATTTTCAATTGTTTTCCTGCGTCGATTTTATTTTTTTCAAAACAGATTGCCAGTTTCAGAAACAGAATTTCTGGATCACGAGTCTAATTAATTGTATATTGAAAGAGTCCGCTGTGTGCTTATCGAACGTTTTCATCGCAAGAAGATGAGATTAGTGAACTTTCAAATTCATCGGATCAAAAACTTCTTCCTTAATCCGTACTGCAGTCTGTAACAAATGACAACACTGTTCCATCCAAAAATATTTCAAAAAACGCTATGTTTTTGAAAAAGTGATTGGATTCTTTTGTTTTGCTTGTCGAAGAAAAAACTGTTAATACTCTCCTGTTTTTCTTCGGATTTCGAAAAAGACTCTCGTGTCCAACTCCTGATTTTTAATGAAAAGCTCCTGATTTCGAAAAATTGGATTTGGGCACCATGCTCTTTACCTATGCCAAAATTCGAAGCCTAACTTAAAAATGTACTGTCAACATTCGACGCAGTTTCCTTTCTCTTTCAAACAAAAAAATTACCGTTCTACGGTTCGGTAAAGGGAAGAATTCTTTCGAATAGTTTGCACTACTAATTAATTTAGCTAGTTAAAGTTTTTTCTGAGAGATTAATCAGTTCTAATTTTATGAAAAAATTTTGTGCTGCAGAACATTTTATTTTGAAGCGAGCAGTTCTCTACATCGTGATATAGTTTGTCAAAAAAATTGATTCGATTTTGTAAAATTGTAAGTTTTCTAGAAACCGTGTGTTTCTACGAGGTTTGAAAAACGGTCGGGAAAACATCTAAGAATTTACCTAAGGATAGTAGACTCTGCATTCTGAAACCAGATACATATATCAGTTCGAATTATCTCAACTGGCTACTTTTGACTGATTTCTCTGAGGGAACTTCTCTTCAGGTCATGCTTTAGTCTTGAATTAGTCTTAACTTGAACATGTTATATAATTTTAGTGTTTCATTAATAATCGTCAGCTAAACAACCTCGGCGTAACCTCAAGTTAAAACGCACTTAAGTAGACGTGCAAAGACCCGTCTTAAGTATCTGTTTCGTCTCATTCTGAAATTTA